TCTGATGTTATGTTTAAGTGAGCGTTAAACAGTTCAGGCTGTTGTATTGTTGCTACGTACCGGAGAACCTCTGTCAAAGTGACTTTGGCACTGCCACGTATCCGCCTTTCTCCCTTTGTCTTCCAAGCCTTTCGCCAGTGTTTGCAGTTATCCATGTGCTCAGCAATGGAACAGCCTATTGTTAGTCTAACGAGGGCGAAGTCACACTGGGATTTTTGAAAAAGAAAAAAAGCCAGTTCTTTACTTTGCCTAAAACTTTGTTAAATATTAAACTACCCATACCAAGGAGTTTAGTGAAAGCAAACACTGAGGGTTTGCTAAACTTAAACCTAATAAAGTAGAAAGTTAATAGTTGGGTACAGAGTGTTTTCTGGTTTAGAAAAGCCAGCTATGACAATACAGAAGTGCAAATCAACAGTGTTTTAAAAGGTTTAATTAAAAAGAATGAAGGTGAAGCAAAGCCTGCAAAACTCCGAAATTTGGCCACAGAGATCTTTTCATGACTTGTGGAGAACCTGAACATCTCTGGCGCTCAGGGTAGCATAGCTCCTGATGAGGTGTATAATTCTTATAAATTAGAATTTCTTTTATTTATTTATTGTATTTACTTCTTATAATTTACAATTCTTCAGAGCACCCACGAAAGTTGCTGCACCCTGTCCCATTTCATGCAACAAAGGTGGCGCCCAGGAAATACGTGGTGAGATTGTGTTGTGAGGCAGCTGGAGTTGTTTCCTTTTCCCTCCCCACTCGGCCATCGTTCACAATTAAAAATGTGTGTGTATCTCACCAGATCTTGGGTACCAGGGCACCTCCCCAGCACTCTTTGAGAACAGAGCTGCTGATGGGATCCAAAAGCATATATGTAAAATGTAAAAAGCAAAGTGTAAAGCACAAACCACAGGAGGGCTCAAACTGATTGCCAAGAGTCGAGAGGTCTTTGCTTAGATTGAGTGTAATAATTTGTACCTACTTCATTATTACTGGTGTGCCCTGATAAAAGCTTCTCATTGCAAGGAAAAACACCTGCATAAGTTTTCAGGGCCTGATGTGTTTCTTTAAATCATGTGGTTGTCTTTCAATCTGAAAGGTTTCCAAGGGCATAGGGAAGAGAAAGGAGAGGAGGAGAATGCAGGAACTCTGAGAGAAAACATCTTGTCCAGCACAGTAGTTAACTTGCTGTTTAAGTAGAAGGGATAGTTAGGAAACATCAATGTTCATTCTAAACAAGGAAGCAGACCTAATATTTAAAATTCTGTAGCTACAAGAGGTGGAATATTGTTGGAAAAAAAATACTGAGAATTCATATAGACTTTAAGTAGGGAACAAATAGTGGGTTTTTTTAAACAAACAAAACCACAAAAATACCACCACCAACAAAAAACGCTCTGTGGGTTGCAGTGGAAGTAATGAACCTTTGCTAAAATTACTGGAGTGTTAAAGGCATGTTTCTGGCCTATGGAAAGACACAAGTGGGCAATAAAAGCTGTCCTCAGGCGGCTGTTCAGATGGGAATGAGGAAGATAAAAGGGTGAGGTAAATCAAGCGGTGAGAAAGGGAGAATGATCTATGGTAAAAAAAATCTAGTAGAACAGCTCTAGAAGGTTTACAAAGAAACCAATGTAATAAATGTGGTGAAATAGCTATTACTGCACTTTACTGGTGTATTTTCTTTAGTAAGAGTATGGAGCTAAAGGCAATGGAAGCAGACTGACTCCTCTTTAGGATGAAAAATCTGAACTGGAAGAAACGTGAGTCCACTTCAGAACAGGAATAGAGGGGAATAATACCGTGCAAGACCAACGAGGTCAATGTGAATACCAGCAAAGAGAAAAATACCCCTTGAGAGAATGCTGTGGGGACAGATTGTGAGCATGGGCAGAGAGCTTCCCGGCTTTACACTGGCCTCAAGAGATGGAAGAAGAAGGTATTTAATAAAATGCTTTAAGGTCTTGCTTTTCAAGGATATTTAAGCAGAAGGCAACCTTTTCTGTCTTAGTTCTCAGCTGCTGATGGCATCTGTGGTCATCAATTAGATATCGTTCCCATCATAGCAGACCAAATAGTGACAGGCAAAAGGCCTTTTAGAACTTAGTTTTTGTCCAGTATCCAAAAATATTCTGGCAAATATAGAAGTAGCTGAAGGCTTAGGGCTTATTTGTTACTCCCCTTATTCTGTTTGCATTGTGGCTGTGATCCCATGGGAGTCCTGCATCTGCTGGAGGTCTGGACGTTGAACTTGAGTTCACCAATTTCAGTGGAAGTGGAGTGGGTCCATTTGCCTTCGCTGGTCCTCAACACTAAATGCCCAGCTTGTTTTTGCTTAGGCCACACCTCTTGCTTAATACAGTACTAATTTGTGTGGTTTATACTATGGTTCACTTAAAAGAGAATTTTTGTTTTAACATAGGGTCATTAATAGACGGAAGTTATTTCCCAGACTGATGGACTATCTCCTTCTCTCCTTTTTTATTGCTTTGAATAACTCAGAAATGACTGATTTGTCGTAACAACTCTGAGAGAAAGTTTATGTAGACATATGCTGCTCCTGGCCCATAGTAATTTTAAAGTTGGGTACTATTCAGAAATGCATCATTCATAAAAACAGCATTAATGAAAGCTGTAATGAGACCAAAGAAAAGGGGATAATTGTGGTGTTTGTACTTTTTTTTTTTCCCCTTTAAGCAAGCAAAAGGAATTTTTTAACTACACTGTGCAAACAAGAGCTAGCTGATGTGTCTGAATGGGCTTTGGGATTCAGCAGATAACTTAAACAAAAATTAGCAATATACTAGAAGCTGCGCTGCAATTTGATTTATGGCAAAAGCAGTCTTCAAACAGATTTGGTTTTAGTGTGTATTTTTGTCTTCTCATGAAATGGGATCTGAAAATTAGAAGGCCATGTGTGATGACAGAGGAGGAAAGTGCTATTAATCAAAACCACTTTTGTTCATGTCTTCAAAGCCTTTCTGCCACCTTTTCCATTTTTATCTGTTCCTATGTTTTCAGTTTAGCAGGCATTTATAATCTAAAATGAACTACAGTAGCAGAGTGCCTTGTTCAAGATCAAGTATTCCTAAATACTTTCTACTCAGGAATGCTGAATGTTTCTAGAATCAAGATGTTATTTTTTCAAGATATTGCAAATTAATTAATTAGAAGTTAAATATAATCAATAGTCTTGTATTTAAAAAAAAAAAAAACCACAACAAAAAAACCCTGATGAACTGGTATACTTTTTGCTACTTCACATACTGAAAAGGATCCAAAAATATGTCAGTCTTGAAATTACCTGATTCGAGAAAAATTGATGAACCAGCCAGTTAGACAAAAAAAGATGTATGACTATATTGCTTCTTCATACAAAGAAAGAGTAAGCAAAAGTAGCTACTGAGCCCATTTCAGTGGATTAATACCAAGCATAATTGTAGTACAAAAGTATTGATGTTAAAAAGGATTTCTCCTCCAGCTGTGTTGCCTTAGCCTACAAATATGGATGAGTAGAGGGGGGTTTTGTTAAGTAAAGTTCACTATATTGTTTTGATTAAATTGTGTAGTGTGTGGCTATCTTACTCCTGTAAATAGCAAGGGATTGGCATTTCTGTTGAATTTTCTGTCATATTCACTGTCACTTAAATTTATCTTCTCTGTGAATTAGTACGCCACTTCCATTTGAGCAGGGAATGCAATGTTTTACCTGAAAGGTATTTGCAACTTTTCTGTAGGGCGGAGGCTGATCAGCGTTACATTAAGGGAGATAATGATAAACAATTTTTCATCTTTTCCCTGGAAGATGATATGAAAGATGGGAGAGGAAGACTAGCACAAAGATTAACAGCTCCACAAACTAGGTTTTTTGCAAAGCTACCTACTGATGCCCTGACCTTGTGTTGGAGAGCTGCATCATTGCAACAGGAGCATCAACCTGCGCTGCCCGATGTCTCTGTCATTGCTTTCGTTGTTTCTCTCTGAGCTTCCGCTCAGATCTTAATTTCACTTTTTGATTTACAAGGTTCAGTACAGCCGCACTGAAGCCAGGACACTGAGTAAACACTCACAGTTTCTCTTGCCTGTGGTTATAAACAAAAGGCTATGGAAATGTGGGGGTTTTTAGCATACTTGAAAATGAAAAAGAATTCTCCACTTGACAGGAGTAACTGCTCCCATAAACTCCTGTTGCTGTAGCTTGTACGTTACCAAGGTACATATATCAGTAGAGGAGAAAGAAAAGCAGAGGACTGTTTGTTTCTTCGTTACCCTTGGCAACAGTATCATCTGTGCCTTTCATTTTTGTAAATGCATTTTTTTTGTACTCCGTAAAAGCTTATGTCTATACTACAACTAAAAACCTGAGAACAAATGGGAATGTGTGGATGTATACATTTCTGAAAGCGTCAGGTTTTTATTTCAGTGTCATAACTTTTATAAGGAGGATGTGAATATGGCCTTTGGAGTGCTTCAGATTGGCGGTATCTAGTGATCTAGACTAGTGTTTAAATTTGATTTAGAAATAAGTTTTCCTTATACAGTACTGTATTTTAAGTTCCTGTACATGTTGTATTGAATGTGTACTCGTTTAATCTGTTAGTAATGATGTATGACCTATTGCACTCACTGTAAAATGTTTTGAGTAGGTATGTCATACTCTCCTGTCTCCGTTCATACAGTGATATTGTTGGCTTCAGCTTTTGTACCTAAAGCAAAATAATACCTTCACAGGTTTTATATTATTTCACCTAACTTCTTTAGTATGTTGAAATCTGTCCACTACTTCTACAAGTTAGCCAAAACCATTCTGTGTTATTTCACAGACATTTCATAAAGTAGGTGGGACTTACTTGGTGGGGGAGGAGGGGAAAATAAATGCTTTTTAGTTTGTTTCTTTAAGTATACACTAGACAAAGATGTTAAGCAAATGTTGCCAGTTGCTTGTATTTCAAAATAATTTACTTGGTACTGAAAAGACGGTCTTCTAAATGCTTTTGGCACTCTTTCTCCAGCTCCTGCCAGTGGATGGACTTCAAACAGTATTAAACCACCTGGAACAACTGACCCGAGTGAAAAATTTGCGACAGCACCTCAGCTAAATGAGCAAGACACGTTGGTTCAGAGGGCAGAGCATATTCCTGCGGGAAAGCGTACTCCCATGTGTGCGCACTGTAATCAAGTCATTAGGTTCGTATCTACTCATCCTGCGGGCTCTCTGACAGCAGGGCTTTGTTTTGCTTTCGTGGGTTTTGATTCCTTAGTCACAAGTGTTTTAAGGCTCCATTTCAATAATGCAGAACGCTGTTTTCACGCATGGTTTATCTAACAAAACTGAGAATGAGAGTAATGATGGAGGAAAACGTTGTGAACTGCTAACAGTCACAGCCTTACAACCTGTTTTACAGAGAACCAGAAAGCTGGGTGGAGTAGAGCAAAAGTGAAAACAAAGCAAAGTAAACAAGTTAGTTTTCACTTATACACCCATTCCAATAAAATTGAGAAGATTAGCAAATTGGAAACCAATGAGAGAGTATAGTCTTATAAAGACTAACTTGTCACAAACGTTGATTTATAAACCAGAGTTTCTAATTGAGAAGAAGAAAAATAGCAGGCTCCATCCATATAAGAATAGCAAGGAATAGAGGCTTAACAATTGCTAGGTCTGGATTAATAACAATTCCCTGCAATGTTAGATTTCAAGCTCTTTGGTGGGCTCTCTGGCCTTTGGGTATTATGGTAGCTAGTGTCCTTGACTTGTATGACATGGGTATAAAAGATTAAGCAACACAAAAATGAGTTTGCCAAATGAGATTAAGTTAAATAAATTCTGCTGAGCCCCTAAGATATCCTGTCGTTAGCCAGAATTTCATATGGAGGAAGAATTGAATCTGGGTTTCATCGTTCAGTCAGTGATTTCTGACAGTTAGTCATGATTGTCTCATCCAGGGAACTGTAATCACTTTTTGTGTCAATGTGCAAATCATCCTGATTTTCATCTACCTTGCATTTTATTTCTTCCCTAAAATAGCGATTTCCTGGGATTATTGGAAGAAATGTATTCTTTTAAGATGTTTTCTTGCTTGTTCAGTTATCTGCACTGTTGAACTACGAGGGGAAAGTAATGCATTGTAATATTTCTTTTTTATTCATCTATGTCCTATGTTTTCAGTGAACAAAATAGGAGACCCTGCACTACGTTTCACCATGGTAAAAGAGACTTGTTTGATTAGAAAAGTGAGTTCTGAAAAATGAGGAGCTCTATGAGCTGTACAAGTTTAACTCAGAACAATAGAAAATCAGCCTTTCTACTATGGTATTTTACAGCCTCTTGAGCCCTGGCTTGGATTGTGCATCAGAAGATGCAACTAGCTCAAGTCACTTGATCTCTAGGAATGAATTGAGTCCAGCTTGCTTGCTTCCATTAGATTTCCATTCTGATAGTTTACTACCAGTTCAGTTAACATCAGGTTAATTTTAGAGGACTTTTTGCTAACTGATCTGTGATGTTTTGGAGAAGTTTTTCCTACTTCCATTGTATATGTCAAGGTAATTAAAAAAAAAAAAAATCTTAATCCCCTTGAAGCGATAGAAAAAACAGATTCCCAACATAGGTGTACATCTTTTCTAATCCAGATTTTTTTGCTTCATGGCAAAATGGAAGATTAATATCAAAAAGATCTACACACTTTTTGGATAAGATTGATCTGATTCGTTGAACAGTTTGGCCCATATAATCACCATGTCTGTCCTTAGTATTCTGACTTTTTTGTTCCCTGGGCAGTGGAGAGCTTTGGATTTGTGTCTAGTAAATAACATGCAAGCAACCATGCACCTTCCTTTTTGTTACCATCATTTCAGTTTAAAAATGAATGTGAACATAGCAAATCCACTATATGCTGCACCTTTCATGCAAGAGACGTCAGCACCTTTTAAGGCACCTGTGGTTTAGCAGGGTTCACTGATGCTCTGTGCTGTGGGGTCTCACAGCAGTCTGTAGATCACTCCTGAGCAGCCAACCTCTCCTCCTGGCCCTTAAATCACTTGCTGCTTCTCCCAGCTTTGATCACCATTAAAAACGAGATGAGCTGCCGCCCAGTAAGTAAGGGAGTGCATTGGTCCACAGAGCAACCTTTGCTCCTTAGTTGCTGCATGAGGAGAAACTGTGGAGCCCTACTTGACAGTACTCAGGCCATTCTCACCTATTGTAAGTGACACCTCTTCGTGAATAGTAACTGATACCCACCTCTAACTTCTTTGTAATTTGCTGGTGGTATTTAAATCCTTATTGTTAAAAGGAAGCATTGTTTCATTTGAGGATGAGTTGATGTGTGTTAATCAATCCCAAATATGCCTCCTGTTCACAGCATACAGTGGATTTGAAAGACTGCAATGGCATTTTGAATTCAAGTTTTAGCATAATTACAGTTCATGCCCTTAGTGGTAGCCTTACCTACGAAAAGGTAGGAGGAGGATCAAGTGACATTGCATTGTACATCTGTTTTGAAGCCAAAATGCGTTATGGAGTTGGTTACTTTACACTCAGGCATAGAATAACCATGGCTGGTTGAGCCAAAACCATTTCTTAAGAGGTATCTTATAACTTTTTAATATAGCTTTAATTATTCATACCGTGATTGTCTGAAGATTCCAGTTTTTTCCAAATCTTCATTAAGTAAGCTTTTCTTCCCATGTCTGAAAGAATCAAAGTTGGAGGGAAATTAAATTTCCCGTGATCTAGTTGCTGTGAAGATCTGGCAAACTTCTAACATTTTCTGATGAATACTTCTGGTTCCCCGGCAGTCTTACTGGGTGCCGCAGTGCAGAGTTGGCTCTCCCTTTGAAGTCCACATGTGTTTTCCCTGGATCTCCATTCAGAACACACTCTGTGGTGTGTCCACTTGTGAATGATGATTTGGTTTTGTCACCTTTTCATACAGCTTAATTATTTTAAAGGCACAAAGGAGAAAGTACAAATGGTGCTTCCCTTCAGCATTTCCTGTACAGAAATTATATATTGTGGCATTTTCAAGTGAGGAGATAAAGAAACTTCCCAGAGTGTAGACTGCTGTACGGTTAACTGTAAAGTGATTAGCCTACTTAGCAGATGTGGAAGTCCTTTTGATCTCTCTACCACCAAATTTCAGTTCTGGCTTGCTATCATAATAAAAGCCACATGAGAAGCTAGATTATCAGCATACTAATACCTCATGACCATACTGATGAAGTTATTTTTAGTTAACTTTAGTTACATGAGTGTAAAAAATTATGCTTATATTCCCTGTATGTTATTTACTTCTCCTTCCAATTTGCCCGTATATCATTGCTACATGCAGGACCCAGATGTTTTAGGTGGCTACCAAATTGATGTACCTGGTGATCCTTTGGGGCATAAGATTCTGTAAATACTGTTGTAAATAAATCAAAATCTCTTTTAAAAAAAAATTAAAAAATAATTATAGCTATTTGCCTCCATCTGTGAGTTTGGTTCACATGGTCTAGATGGTGATGCCAGAAATTTGTTCAGAAATGCTTAGCATGTCAAAGTAGCCCGGGATAGAGGTGCATTCATAGACAACTCTTTCCAATTGGATCATCCTATATCTTTGGATGGAAGGAACATGTTTTTATAGCACCACCTTTAAAAATATGTTCTAGTTGACAGAGGCATGTGGGGTTTTTTTATTGTTTTTTGTTTTTAAATGGGGAAGGAAGGATGAAGCTATCTGCAGCCATCTTCCTAGCATTTCATGCCCTAGCTACTTCCCATCAGGTTGTGTGAGTGCGGGCATATGGCCCTCTTACTCAAATCGGGGCTTTAAACTCCTTTTCAAATGAATACAGCAAATAAATACCTTTCGTTACTGGAAGCTATTGTTTCAATCGTGCAAATATGCAGAGACCAGGAACGCCTCCAAGTTCTGAGTATCATGTTTTAGTGTATTTTATGTGGCAGGTGTTTGGTTTTTTTTTTTCCTTTCTTCCACATGCTTTGGGGCAACTTTTAAGTCGCTGGTGTCATTAAGCTGCAGCACCAGTTTGACATGTTTAAACTACGGACTGATTAAAAGTAAAATTGTATTTAGAAAGCGTTCTTCTGGACATGTGTGTGCAGGGAGCCGGCCCGCTAATGGAACACCTCGGAGACATTGTGCGGGGCATGGCCACAGCTGTCTGGGGACTTTGGGAAAGAAACTCCATAGATGCACTCTCGGGCTGTTCCCCATCCGTCTGGGTTCCTGCGTGCTGTCCTGAATGGCTAAGCTCAACATGTTAGAGCTGTAAACTCTGGAGAGCTAAATGCAGCAGATGTTGTAAAAATTCCTTCCCCTCCTGTCGCTAGCGTACTTTCTTTCCATTGCAGAGCTAACTGAGCCTATCGTTTCGGTGCAGATGGCCAGAAACTCAATCCTACCTGGAGCTGGGAGAGCCTCTTCGGTGTCAGCCCCGTGTTAATGAATCTGTTAAATTAGCCCGTGCTGACACGGCGCACTGAGAGCACTTTGTTGTACATAAGGGCTTGTATTGTTTGATCAGTACATAACTGAAAGGGCATTGATGTAAAAAGGTGCTTGTAGGGCGGCGGGAGGGTATCGGGTTAGGTCAGTGTTTGCACTGCTCAGGCATCCGCTGGGAGCAGGGGGCCAGAGAACTGTGCTCAACCCTGACTCCCTCCTTAAAGGGCTACAAGCTACTCTCCAGGAGCCCTTTTTCACTGCTTTCTTTCCGATAATCAGAGGTAAATAGAAGAAACTGTTGCAGATTAAATATGCTCATCATCTCAGAAGGTGTGCGAGTTGTCCTGAATCTGTTTGAGTCCCTTATTTTTGACTTCTT